ATGCCCGTGGCGGGGGGAAAAGAAAATTAAAAGGGTAAAAAAAAAAAAAAAAAAGCGAGTGCATTACCGTGTTGCTGCCTGGCTTTGCGCCGCGCGCCCGGTCTGCTCCCAGGCAGCGCCGATGGCCTGCGGGTCTCATAGATTTTCATAACATGGATTAAACACATTTACAGCGGGTTTTTTTCCGCCTCCTCCCACATTAGCAAAATGACCTGGTGGGTCCTGCTCTGGCCCAGGCTGCCCCATCCTCTGGTGCTGCATCCTCGGAGCTGCAGCCCACACCAGGAATAAGCTCCTGCTTTCACCAGGCAGCTCCTCGCGGCCCCAGGAGCTCGTGCGTTCAGCTGCATTTGGGGAGCACCGTTCACCCTGCCCCAAGGGTGCCCCAGGCACCTGCAAACCACTTGGTGAACTGCTACCTGCAGCCTCTGTGGGGAGAAATGGAGCAAAGAAGGAGCAAATACATCTAATACACACACATATAGCATATATATGGTGTGTGGATATATATAAATATACACACGCACAAACAACTGGAGCCGGAGGCTGGAGGAGTTTACAGCACTTGCACATATGTTTAATTTATAATTTACACTGTTATCCATAATTGATACGATCTGTAATCCTGGGCCGGCGACACAGAGCGCGAGCCGCTCTCTCCGTGCGCTGCCGCCCTCCTCTCCGACAGCGCGAGGATTTAGGAGCGAAGGGAAGAGCACGGGGGCACTGCCCCAGGAAGGGGCTGGTGCTGGCTGCGGCATCCAGATGTGGCCAGGGGTTGGATGCCCATATCCCTGCCGGAGCCGAGCATCCCCAGCTGCTCCGCAGGGCTCCCGGATGAGCACAGGCTGGGATACCTGGACTGTGCATGGGATAAGCGGAGCCTCGGCAGCAGCTTCTTTAAAAGGGAATGGAATAAAAAAAAAAGTCAACCTGGAGGATTAAAAGTAAAAAAAATAAGCCATAACAAATGACAAATAGAATCTGATAGCACTGCGGCTCTTTCAGGTGGGCCGATGGGAGATAGCAGCGCGGTGCCGTAGCAAACAAAGCTCTCCAAAAGGAATATTAAACCTTACTGCAGAAGGACTGGAGGTTTATCAGAGTCTTTTGATGGTAATAGATTTTGGTAATAACCTGACTTTATTACTGGAAACAATCTGAGAACACAAAGCATCTTTGCAGATTGCTAGAAGCGTTTTCCAGCCACTCCAATGCTCTTCTCCCACCAGCACCCAGAGAGTGCCTGGTGTTTCACCAGGGCCGACACAGGGCAATGGGAAGGGACCAGAGGGTGCAGAAACAAAAAATACTTCTTCAAGGACCATGTAACATGGGACAGGGACCAAGGCACCTGCAGGGGAACCTCCATCCCACCAGGACAGGGCTAAACAGCTCAATATGTTGTCCACTCCGCAGTGGGTTAACATGCCCACTCCAGCCAGGATCAGAGCTGCACCACATGGAAACTCCAGGAATGTTTCCCGTCCCCAGAGAAGCAGGTGCTGGCTGGGCTTGCTGGTGCTGGCACATCCTTCACCACTCTCCCTTGGGTAGGGAAGAGGCAGGAACACCAGGAGGAGTCAATAAATGTAACAACTTGGCAGTGTTTTGGCCCATCTCCACACAGTCTTTGCTAAAGGAGAGCTGAGATTTGTGCCTGGTTGGGTTCAAAGAAGAAGAGGGGAAAACAGCATCCCCTTCCCATGTCCCCGGAGCAGCCGCTGGACACCTGGAACCAGGTGCCACAAGTGCCTTCCTCTCTGTGCATAACGGCTGCAAGGGCAAAGAGCCCATCCTCATGCTAAGAAAAGCCCCCAAAGCCACTCTGAAAAAGAGGGCCTCCTTTTTGCACCCCTTTTGTCTCATTTTGACCCAAACCTGCCAGCGAAGGGGATGCAAACGGCCGCATCCAAGCGAGGTGTCTCCAAGAGATGCTCTGCCTTCACCCCAGCTTCCACAGCTACTGTATTTATCCTGCCATCATGCATTTATCCTATATTATATTGCACTGCTCCGAGAGCAGCTCCCAGGCCTGTGGATGGGGCCAAGGGCTGAGATGCTCCTGGGGGCTCTTCTTTCTCCGTGTGTTTTAAGCTGTTCGATTTGAGCAAGATCCGAAATAAAATCCCCCTTGGGGAATGCACAATTGGCTGCTTCGGCTCCTCAGAATGGGCTTATTTTTCTTGTTTTTGGCCAACCCCACCAGCATTTGACCTTGAAGGGGTGCCCTGCTCCCCATCTGTGAACCTGCAACAGCAGCATGAAGCAGCGGGAGACTTAGTGATGCCAAAAACATACACATGTTTGAATATCATTTTGCTAAGTTGTTCATCAAAAAAATAAAATTTAAATTTAAAAAATGCTTGGATATTGCACTGCCAGAAAGAAGCGTTCTGCCTTGAAATCCCTTTTTCTCTTTGAAGTGGTCTCTGGGAAGGTTTCCCTGAGCCTGAGGAAGTGCTGGAGATACCCTGAGTCCCACACAACACCCACCAAAGGGTTTCCTTTCCAGCTCTCCGTGAAGTTATCATTTGATTAAATCCGAACCAAAGTACTGCTGTTACCGGAGCCTCTGAGGACGCTGCTTGGCCGGATTGCCAGGGCAGAGCCCCGGTGTCACCGCTGGAGCTCACGGCGGGGCTGCAAGCAGACTCAGAAGCTCAGTTCATTCCAATGCCCTGCTTGGTGAAACCCTCTTTGATGCATTTTCCATTCTGCTAAATTCCCATTACTATTTTTTTTGGCTATAAAGTTTAAAAATGAGCCCTGGCTCTTATTAGGCTCATCTGTTTCCCTCCGTGCTCCATGAATTGCCTTTGGGTGGGCGAAGCTGCCGGCCCCTGGCACTGCTGGCACGTGCCGCACTGCCAGCGAGCCGGACAAATGCCGGATGCGGGATTCCAGATCCTCACCCGAGAGAGCCAGGCGGGTGCCGACATGCTCCGACGCTTCTTCCAACCTCTGCTGCTTTTCTTTATCAATGGATCAGATTTTCCTGCCCAGCTCGTTTCAAGCATGAGTTGCAGGCACTCCAGAGGGATCTCCCTACTGCCCAGCACATCCCAGTCCAGCCCCTCTCCAGAAACAGGAGAGCCCCAACCTCGTGCCATGACATGTGCAGCCAAGAAAACTCCTGCTCCATACACCCCAGGCCTGGCCACCTTCTCCTGCATAATCTCAATCATGGAAAACTCCCATCTTGGTAAAAAATAAAGCCAGCAATTTTTTTGCATATTGAGCGTGGAGTGGATGCAAACCACGTTATCTGGATGGCTTGCTGGCTTAGCACAGCCTCCGTTTTACCATACTAATGACTTTTTACACTCCAGGTAAAATCAGAACAAGACAAGAAGGTTTTAGAAAGCTCGTTCTGACAAATTCCTCACTGTAATTACTGGAGCAGAAAGAACTCATCAGCAGTACATGCCGTTGCTCGGGGCGCTAAAAGTCTCGAGTGGTGAATTGTATAACCCCGCTCCGTGCCGGGGAGCGGCTCTGCGCAGCGTGTGGTGCTCCCGGGAGCTCGGGGATGGATGGAGCAGCCCCATGAGCTCAGACCGTGAGTCCGGTTATGGACACGGGTTATGGATGCTGGTTAAGGATACTGGTTAAAGGTACCGGTTAAAGGCACCCACTGGCTTTTCCAGCCCCTGCTCCTCGTGTAGTTGGCTCCCGTTCTCCCAAATCCAGGAGGGGATGGAGATCCGGAGGAGCTCGCAGGGGTTTTCGGGTGGTGGGTCTTCCCCGTCGGCCTCGTTGCCCGCGGCCGGGCTGGCGCGGCGGCCAATTCTCACGCTCCAGATACGAGCTGCTCCCCAGGAGCCGCCAGCCCGGGTGCCCTCAGAGCCTGGGGATGTGGGGAGACCCCCTGCGGAGAGGCGGGACCTCGCCGAGCCGTGGTGGGACCGCAGGTCTCCCGGTACCTGGTCCTGGGAGCGCCCGGCGTCCTCGCATGGGGCCAGGAGGGACGTGCCGAGGATCCATCCCCTTCCGAAACCTTCTCCCAGTGCCCAGTGTTGGCTCCAGTCCAGGATGAACCTCCTGTGCGAGATACCACAGAATCACAGAACGGTTGAGGTTGGAAGGGACCTCTAGGGATCATCTAGTCCAACCCCCTGCTCCAGCAGGGACGGCCCGCTGGAGGCGAGGGAGCTGTGGAGGGAGCGATGGAGGAGGCAGGGACGGGGACCGGTGATGCTCCCAATGGTACCTGGCACCTCCTGGGGGCTCAGGCACTGTTTTTTTTCTTCTTATGAACACTGGGTGGGTGACAGCAGACGTGGTGATTTCTTCTGGAAATGAGGTCTTTAGGTTTACCCTTTAAGCACATCCTTGCTGGCCTTTCCCTCCAGTGAATCTGCACAGTAGAAAACCCCAGTGCATCGCCAGACTTGGCTGGTGCCCCTATCTCTTCTCCTTGTATGGACATAAATACCAAGCTGATTATCCCCCCCTCTCCTGCCCTGATGCCAGTAGGCGGTTTGTTAGGCAGGCTGTGAGATCCCAGGATCCCTTGGAATAGCCAAGAACCCCCATTCCCAAGGCCATCCCTGTCAGTGTATCCTGCCTTCAGGATGGAGAGGGGAGCATCTCCAGGACAAAAAATCATCCCATTGCAATGAAAAAGCCTCAGATCCAGGGTGGTTTCATGCTGCCTCTGCCAAGGTTGGGGACTTGGGGACAGCAGAGGACTGTCCTGGCTGCAGCCACATCCCCTTTGTTTTCACTCCAGACTTTTCCGATAAACCCACCTTGTTTCCTCCCATTTTGGGAGCCTGCACCCTGGAGCACAGCCACTCATCCTGCCCTGTGCCTGGCTTTGGCACGGAATCCCCTTCAGCGCCTTGGCACCAGCAACCTACAATGACTGACATCCCATTAGGTTTCCCCCGTGCTCCGCGCAGGGAGTCGCTCATTCCATCCATGCAGCCTCCCAACCCCTTGCTGTCCGGTAAAATAGCCACGAGGAGATTACTGTCTCCACAAATCCTTCATCATCCCATGAGCTACGTGATGGGTGCCCTGGATGGCTCCCAGGCCAGGGCTCCCCAGCGCCTTCCCTTCAAACTCAGCCCAGCCCTTGGCCCAGCGGCTCCTCCTTTCCCTGCATCCCCCCAGGACCAAGCCTCCCTCCCAGAGCATTGCCCAGGGCCCACAAGGGACCTGGCTCCAGGATTTCAGCTGGGATCTCTTCCAAAGGAGAGGGGTGCTGGGGCAAGGAAGGATGGGCCAGCTGGAGGGATGCTGGACACGAGCTGCATTCGCAGCGCTCAGTTGTGAATTGGCCAGAGTCTGGTGGACATGAGATGTCCAGGACCTCTTCCAGAACCTCCTCCCTGCTTGGGGAATTCCACCAAGGCCACCTTTGAGATCTCCTTCCAGGATCTCTTCTGGGACCCATGTCCCCATGTCTCATAACCACCCCCCTGCCTGGTCCATCCTCCCTGGACAGCTCCCTCCCTCTGCTACCAAACCCTTCATCCAAACACGGATTAAAGAGTTTTGCTGTCTCTTTGATTCCCATGGAAATTGGTCATGGGGCTGTTCCTGCCCACAGGGTGGATTAAAAAATCCTACTTTTTTCAAGTCACTCCCCACTCTGCTTCCTTCCACCCTTTAGTCATTCCCTTGATTTTTTGTGCAGTTTATCTCCTTACTTTTTTGAAGCTCCTGTTTTAATCATGTGCAGAAGCCTTCAAAGAGCCAAAGCTTTGGGGAGGAGGGAAGCAGCTGCTGGAGGAAGGCTCCAAGGCCCTGCGTCCTCCTCGGGGCGCCACAGAGAGGTATCTTCCCTGGCATCAGAGCAGCATCTCCTGCCTCCCCTCTCCGCTGCTTTGAATTCCTCCGTGAAACCCAGGGACTCCAGCCAAGCGCCCTTATCACAGATCTTTGATGGAGCCGCGGTTATTATTAAATTGGAGCAGCCAAGTAGATAGGCGGGTACTGCAGAAGCATCGCACAGAGGGGTGTTTTGTGGGGTTTGCTGTCTTTCGACTCATTTAAAGATGGTCCTGGCTCTTCCAAGCAGCTCTCCCCAAAGCCAAGGAAAGGAGGGCTTGTCCCTTGCGAGAGCAGCAGTTTCGCATGGCCAAAGCCCAGCTGGGCACTCCCAGGGAGCTGCTCTCCCATTAGTATCCACAGCCCCGGCCTGGCCCTGGCCCTCCTCTTTGCCTGCATCTCCTTCCACCTACTTCATTTATCCCAAGGTTTTTCCAATCTCATTGTCTCACTCTCCAGGCTCGCAGCAGCGATTAGGTGAAACAGGAGCAGAGGGGGATTCCTGGGGCATTTTCCACCCTCCGGCAAACACAAACAAGAGCCTGAGCCACAACATCCCGGCGGCAGCGCCGTGCCCCCGCGCGGGAAGGAGCCCCGCGAGCCCGGCGGTGACGTGACGGAGGATGCGCGGGCAGCGCCGGAGTGCACGCTGAGGATAGATATAGCTCTTAATCTCTCTCTATCTGCTAATTAAATATTGATGGTCGTTAAATATTCATAGAACATTTTGGCTCAGAGTTTTTATCTGTCTTCGAGTATACGTGAGGTCTTTGATGTGTTATTTTTTCTGGTCATCCAGGGTCCCAGAAGCCTCCAGACTTGTCAACACTATTTTGAGGAGTTTTTTTTTTCCCGTCCACATGTGACTTTTAGAGGAAATTATTTGTTTGCTTATTTGCTTCTTTTTCTTCTTTGTCCCTTTTCATTTGTTTTTTTCTATAGCTCAGTACCTAATCTTTTCTCCACGAAAACACAGAGCTCAACATTTCATGTCTGACCCTCCCTGAGCGGAGTAACGCAGCTGAAGGTCACCAACTCCGAGGAGAGCTGCTCTCCGTCTCTTTTACGCTGATTGCCATCCAGGAATATCGAGCAGTGGAGATGCCTGCCATTAGCAATCCCGCCTGCTTGGCATTCCCTTGGTGGGAAGCAGAGTGTGCTCGGAGCCGAGCGCTGCTCCAGGTGTGAAGGTCAACGTGGGGATGAAGGCTGAAACAAGAAGCTCGTATCGAGCTCTATATGGAGCCAGGAAACGCAGCGTCCTGGTGCGATGACTTGAAGTCCTGTTGCCTCTGCTGGAGCCCATCACACATGAGCTGCAGATGGACTCTTGGGAGCTCCAGGAGACCCTCTGGCAGTGCAGGTAATGGGCATCTCTGCCTTGGATCCATCTTGGGGGTCCTCCCAGAAGGTGAGGAGAGAGCAGCATTGAGGAGGAGGGGTGAACGGACCCACCAAGGAGGCAGTTGAAGGCAATGGGCAGGGAGGAGTTGGTGGGGGCTCCTCTCACAGTGCCTGGTAGCAAGAGATGCCATGGAGCAGATTACCTGGCCAGGGGATGGTCCTCAGTCCCTCTCCCATCTCCCTGAGGGTAGTCAGGGGTCCTGGACTCTTGCCTGCACCGTGGGAGCTGCTGTGACCAGTGATGGTCTCCAGAAGAGCAGGTCACTCCAGGGCAGCCCTGGCCCCAGGGTAACTCCTACACTGCCCACAGGCAGGGTGGTCCACACAGTCCAGAGGAGCCTGCAGCAGATGTGGCCACACGCTGGAGCCCGCCCTGAAGCGGAGAAAGGAGGAGGCCTTGGCTGAGACCTGCTGCTCTTGCCTCACCCAAAGCTCCTCTGTCCAGAAAACCCTCTCCTTCGACTCCATGACTAGCCCAGAGGGACACGGTGGGGTTTGGAGACTGGCACATCCAGAGAGAGGGACACTCCAGGATGGGACATGCTGGAGCAAGAGGCCCAGAGGCCGCCCAGGCCAGGGCACAGGCGGCCGTTCCTGGGACGGCACTGACATCTTGTGCCAAGCAGAGGAAAAACATCAGGGATCTTCATGTCCTCTGCACCACGGCAGCCTCGTATCCCCTCGCTCCAAATGCCAAGCAGCTCCCCACAAAACGTCCCCAACACACGGCTCAAGACCCACCTCCTCATCCAGGGGCTGTCCCTCCGGTATCCCAGTCCTCCTGCTCCATTGGCAGTGCCGTGCTGTGATTTTTTCCCTGGGGAAGGATTGGGTTTGAGGTCTGAGCCTGGACACAACCCCCTGAGCAGCCCCGTGCTGCAGCGAGGGCAGCTGCAGGTGCTGCCAAGCCCCTCGTCCCCAGCTGCCCTTTCCTAACAGCAGCAGAGGTGAGGAAAGGGTTAGTTTGGGAGGGGTTTTTATGGCTTAGCCAGCAAAAAAATAACGAGAAATCACCAGAACCTGAAGGAGCAGCTCGGGCCAGGGCGGGCTGCGCTCAGTCCCTCCAAGCCCACCCGAAACCCACAGCCAGGGAAGCTGGAGGGGACAGCGAGAGGGGTTAAGTCACGTCTCAGCGCGAGGGTCAGGGCTCCCGGCTGTCCCCAGCTGAGACACCAGTCGGGACCAGGAAAACATAGGGCAACAGATGTCCAGGTTGCAAATTGAATTAAGCAGCTCAGATGGAGGAGATGAGCAGCGGGGTTGGGACCCGGTGGTCCCGGCAGAGCAGCCGCCATCAGGGAGGCACCGACAGCCTCTAATTTCCCCTCCCACGTTCGTGTGCTCCGCTCCGAGGAAGCTGCTTCCTGCTTCCCTTGGGATACAGGGAGATCATGAAGCCAGCGCCGGCAACGGGATTGGGATCCCGGGTGCGGCAGGAGGCAGATGGTGCCAGGGGTGGATTTTAGCTGGAATCCTGTGGGGTGCCGGGGAGCGGGGCAGAAAGGCTCTGGGCTTTAGCGAGCCCGGGGCTGATGCTCCTCGCAAGCAGGGGTGGCTGGTGCAAAGCCAGCTCTGCAGCTGGGGCTGCGCAGCACCCGGACACCGGGGCCCAAAGGCCGCGGGAAATGAGTCACGGCCCAGCATGGTGGGGACTCCCCGGCACAGCCAAAGCCATCCCAAAATGGGAAAGTCCGGGCTGTCCCGAGCCCAGCCACGGAGCTGCAACCTGTCCTTGCAACTCGCTCAGCACCGCTCACTCGAGATTAGTGTTCGTTAAACTGGGACTGGGACATGACGTTGTCAGAGGTGTCTGCCCTGAACGCAGCTTGTGCCATCTGCTCCATGATATTCCTGTGTGTTCTCCATTTCCAGCAATTTTGGGAAGCGGGAGATGGGGAAAGTCTTTCCAGGAGGAAGCTGCTGCTCTAGGCAGCAGATACAAACCTCAGGCGAGCTGCAAATGTCAATTGGGAAGAGCTTTTCTGCCCCTCAGATGCAGCCCTGAGCGAGCAGGTGTTGGGGCGAGAGCAGAGATTCCCGTGGGATTTACTATCCTGGAAAAAAAAAAAATCCATGCTGCCCTTTGGGGAAGGGATCTCCAGCCACTCTCTGTAGAGCTGCCAAGCTGGGGGACCCAGATCTGCTGCTGGGGACAGGCAAGGGGGGACGTGGCCACCACTCAAATCCAGCCCATTGCCCCCAAGAGGAAGGGAAATCCCAGGCAGTCAGGAAAGGGCAAGGATCACGCCGGCACTTAGAAAGGAAATAGCCCAGCTCGGGTATTTATGAAGCCGTTATCTTGTCATCAGCTGAGGCAAGATAAGGGGAAAGCTGAGCTCAGTTCCAGCCGAGATGGAGATAAAGAATTAAGAGCTAGAGGAATAAATCAAGCAAATCCTCACGGCTTTGTGGAAAACAGAGTGGACCTGGCAAAGCTCATTGGATTACATTTATTATTTGGGATGCACCAGCTGTCCCAGCTGTACAGTCCTGGAGGCAGCACACTTAGACCTCAGTCCCCTGGGAGCATTAATTGGACAAAACACGGAGCCTCCGGAAAGCACGAGCAAACCATTTGCATGACGCATCCCGAACGGCAGCTGACCCCGAGCAGAGATGGCCAAAGAACAGTCAATTTCTCCATGGTGTCTGGAAAAAAAGGGCATTTTCCAGCAGGGACCACCTTCCGATCCAGCACCCCAGGGCACCTGGCTGCCCTTTTCACCCCCTGGCTGAGGAGCCAGAGTTCTGCCGCTGATGGAGCATTCCCAGCCCCTGGGAGCCTGTCCACATTATGCTTAAAAAGTGCAAGTTTTGCTCATGCCGGGTGCAGCGGAGCTTTCGTGGGCACTGCGGGCGGAAACGCGCAGTGAGCGGGGGGACCGGCTGCTGGAGCAGCGCGACGTGGTGGGAAACAGCAGCAGGGGGAGAAGAGGAGCCTGAACGTGTTGGAGGTGCTGGAGGAAACGCTCTGCGGGAGAGACACCGGGAACCGAGAACGGACGGATGCACCAGAACTGCATTGAATGCGGTGGAGAAGAAGGTGCGGAGCAGCAGGGCTGGCAGCCAGGGAACTGCAGGGCTAGGAGAGCTGAGGATGCATCTTATCGAAAAAAAGAAAAGAAAAAAAAAAGTGTGATTAAGCAGTGACACAAAGTCCCCGCGGAAGTGGTGGTTTCCCCATTGCTCGATGACTTCAGAGCGAGACCAGCTGCCTCCCGCGCTGGCCGGTGATGCTGGAGCATCACTTGGAGCTGGTGCTGTCCGGCTCCGGTGTGGACAGGGCGATGCCACCTCAGGGGTGGTGGGACAGGGTGGGCAGTTTGGGTCCCCAGCCCCAATTCACCCCTGTAGCCCCTGGGCTGGGGGCTGCACCAGAGGTGCTGGGACGGGGCAGTTTCCACGTGGGCGCTCGCCCTCCTCCGCACCCGGGAGCCTCCGCATCCCGCCACCTCCATGGGAAAGCCCCAGGTAAAAGTCCCGGGGACCCCACGCTGCCCATGGCCAAGGCGAGGGAGACAGGAGCCAGTGCTGTGAGTGCCAGTGTCCCCTGCACCACCAGGGAATGGGGCAGGAAAAGCAGTGGCAGCAATTCAGGGCATCCCCTCCCCTGCTCAGGGAAGCAAGCAGAGGCTGGACATGCTCATCACAGCAATGGCTTTGTCTCATCCACTTCCACAGGCCCCTGTGCACAGGGGCTTGGACACAGAGGAAGGCCTCATGTGGGATGGTCGGGCATGGGATAGGGCTGGGCACAGCCAGGGACGATCCTGGGCATCGTCCCCACGGTCACCCTGTGGCTGCGGCGGAACCTTCGCAGCAGGGACACGCAGCGGCAGACGGAGCGAGGCGTCGCGGGGGCCGCGGGGCAGACGGACGCAGCAGGTGCTGGTAACATCATCCCTGGATTTCCCCAGCTCCCTGCATCCAGGCATTTTTCATGGGAACCTTCAAGCGGGTGATTTCCCAGTGCCAAAAAAAAAAAAACAAAAAAACAAAACTCATTCTTTGACTTGTGGGACTATTTCTTACTGTGAGGGAAACAGCCGTCTTGCTGGGGCTCAATTTCCCCCAGTTTGAGGCTGTTCCTGTCCTAGGGGCTCAGCGAGACTTTCCTTACGGGTAGCTCTGGGAACAGCGAGTGTGCAGCGGGAGCAGAGGGGACGGGGCAGATATCCCTGCTTGGGAAGAAGGCGCAGGACCAGGTGGTGCTCGGGGCACGGCTGAGCCATGGGAAAAGTAACACATCCCACCCAAGGCAGCCAGTTTTGGCCTTGTCTCCCAATTTGGTTACCGGATTCAAGCTGGGAAGTGATGCCAAGGACACCCTGGTGCAAAACCTTTCCCAAAATATAGCTGGGAGCACAGAGCGAGCCCAAGGGCTCAGCTGCAGTGAGTGGAGCAGGAGCGAGGAGGCTGTGCCGGGTGCGGCTCCCGGCCATCCCAGCTGTGCCGGAGTGCAGAGCCAGCTCCCAGCTCCGAGCCGCTTCCCCATCAGTTGCCAGCATCCGTGAGGAGCATCCCAAGAGCTGCTTGGGAAGACAGGGGTCTTTGGCCAACCGCGCACGGACAGAATGCACTGGAACGGCCCCAAACTGACCTCTGCATTTCCCAGCCTCACTCAGCCCCAGGCGCCCACGCCAGCCTCCCCCAGCACCCAAATGTCCCCAAACCTGTGCAAAAATCAGTGCAACACGGTGTTTCCGGTGGGAATTTTTGTCCCAGCAAAGCAACTTCTCCACCTAAAAGCAGCTGTTTCCGCAGGGCTCATTCGAAGGGGGGGTCAGGTCCGTGCTGGGACCTCCACATTCCCACGGCCCTGCACTGCACGCGCTCGCCCGTCGGGCCGTACACGGCTTCCCAGTGCCGAGATGGACCTCAAACCCCGCCGGGCCACCAGCTGGAGCTTGAGAAGAGCCGGAGCCCCTCAGGGGGCCCAGAGCACCAGCTGGGAGCCAGGACTTTTCCTTCCTGGAGCCGTGCCGGGAGGGGAAGAATATCCCCCCCGCTCCGTGCTTTGGGATATGGCCGGGAACCAGGTCCTCCCCTTTCCACACGATCGCCGCCCCACTCTCCCCAATAAAAGCAGCCCCACAGCCCTGGTCCCAGCACAGGACTCGTCTCCCGCCAGCTTTGTCGTCCAGCTGCACCTCGACATGATTAAGGCAGCCTGTGCCTTCCTCCTCCTCTTCCTCCTCGCTGCGCTGTGCTGCCGGAGCCCAGCCCAGAGTGAGCACCTCAGGCTGGGTGATATTGGGGATGCTGGGGGGGACCGTGGGGCCAGGTTTGCTCCGTGCAGGATGTCCCGGTGCCACCAGGCCACACGGAGCTCTCGCTGTCCCCTAGGAGCCCCGGCCATGCCGGACAAGTGCTGCTTCAACTTCCAGACGCGCAGGATCAAGAAGGACAACATCGCCTACTGCTACGCCACCAGCCCCGAGTGCCCGCACCGGGCCGTGATGTGAGTACCCGGCCCCCTCGGCCGTCCCGCGCGGCGCCCGGCCGCTCGCTAACCCCTGCCCGTCCCCGCTCCGGCAGATTCCGGCTCAAGAACGACAAGGAGATCTGCGCCCAGGCCGGCAGGGCCTGGGTGAGGAAGTACCAGGAGACCTTCAAAGTCAGCTCCTTCTCCCTGCCCAGCTAGGGGGGAGGCTGCCACACAGCCCCTGAGCTGCTGGTGGCTCCTCGTCCCCGAGACATTCCCCGTTCTCCTCCCAGAAGCAGAGGGGCCACATGTGCCCCTCGGGGTGCTGGAGACTGGAGTCCCTCTGGGTGCAATCAGCTCCCTGCATCCCGGCTTTCCTCCATCCCGGGGCCGAGGCAGGATGGGTCCTTGGCTGAGGAGCATCCAACTCCGATGTCGCCTTCCCAGCCAGCTCCCAGCTTCAGGCAGCAGCACCCTCGGCTTGCGCTGGACACCCCAAAGAGCCTCTTTTGCACGTGCAGGGGTTGAGGAGAAGTGTCCGCGTGGTGACTTGTTGTATGACACGATGCACAGCATTAAACATCACGTCATGTATGCGAACATCTGGCTGGGAAGGTCTCTGCGCCGTGGGAGCAGCCGGTGCCGCTGCTGCCTCTCCCTGTCCAAGCGTTAATGGGGCCAAGCTCTGCAAGGAGCGAGGAGGACACGAAGCCATGGGCATCCCCACCATGTGGGGCATGAGGCCCTGACCCTGGGGAGGTGGGAACAACCCCAGGCTGGTGACAAGATTGTCAAGAAGAGGCTTCCGATGTTCCTCCATCCATCCCTGCCAACAGGATGGAGACCCCTGGGCAAAATTCAGTGCCATGACAGCAATGGCAGGTCCCCCATCCCTCCTGGGATCACGTGGGGAGGGAAATGGGCACGGGACCCAAGGGGCATCGGCAACACAGGGGCACCTGGGGCTGGGGATGAGCAGGATGAGCATCACAGAGGGGCTGTCAGCAGGTGCTTTTTCTGCAAATAGACATGGGACTTTAACAAGCATGAGCAAGGATGCGAGCATCATCCTGTGTGGTTTGTCAGTGGCAACAGCCGAACCCAAAATAGACTGCGGGCCCGTGAGCATCGGCCTGGTGCAGAGCTGCTGGTTGCTACCAGACTTTCCAGCATCCTTCTAGCCACGGCGTTGGAGGATGGAGGGGCTGGAGAGACGCTGACCACAAAAAATTTCCCTTTATCGACTGTCATTTTTTAAAATAAACCCTTCCACTGGGGACAGTCCAGAGCAGTCATGGAAAGCCTTGCCGTGGGCTATATAATGCCGAGGTGCAGCGAGGAGCAGCAGGTAGGGCTAAGCCACCTCAAAGCAGCAAGCGCCAGACTGCTGCCGAAGCGACAGAGCCCACCTCGACATGAAGGTCTTCTCCTTGGCCCTGGTTTCTCTGCTTCTTGGTGCTCTCTGGACTGAAGCCCAGGGCAAGACCTGTAAGTACCGACTCGGAGCCTTTTCTTGTACCCTGTGGGATGCCCTGACCCCATCCCAGACTCCTGCAGCCTGGGTTGACAAGTCAGGGAGGGGGAAACTGCCTGAATTCCTGCCTCTGGCTGTGGATTTCAGTTGCTGAAGGGTATCCAAAGCTACCTGGGCTGCCCCATCCCCATTAAACAGTGAGGAAAGAGATTCCGGCATGATTTCAGTGGTACCAGATCCTGGATTTTCATTGTCCTTGGTTATAGCTGCCATGAGCAATATTGGCAGAGAACTGACTCAGGGCACAACTCGTGTGGGGCAGCACCAACCTCGTTGCTCTCTCAGTCCGCAGCTCCTACGCCATATGCTGCTACCCCAAGATGTTCCTCCGAGACAAAATCCCCGCGTCTGCCATCAAAAGCTACAGGACGACGTCGCCCACGTGCACCCGCAAAGCTGTGCTGTGAGTATCCCCCTGCAGCTGCCTCCTCGCGCAGCCTTCCTCCCCTCCGCCGCCCTCCTCCTCGCCAGGCCCCGCACGCTCCCCAGGTCCCTGCTCATCATCCCCTTAGGGCCAAGTCTCCCTTCAAGGGACCAGGCTGCTGCATAAGCCCCACTTCTGGTGCAAAACACCCTCCTTGATGATTTGTGCCAAATATTCCAACAAATCCAATTTTTAATTTGCCAGCCAGGGTGTTAAATGCTGCTGGAGACTGCCAAAAAACAGCAGTTTGGGGAGCTGTCAGAGGGGGGTGCTGCTGGTGCAAGACTCAAGCCAAGGCCCCAAGGTGTCCCCAGACTGCATGGCCTCATGTCACTAACTGGGCCACCCCAGAGAGCCCCTGGGGACATCCCTGGGCTGGCAAGCACCAAACTAATAACAACCTTCCTCTATCCCCAGCATCGAGCTGAAGAGGGGGAGAAAAGGCTGCGTGGACCCCCAAGAACCCTGGTTCCAGAATTACCTGCAGAGGAAGCAGCAGACCTCACCAAGACTCTAAGCAGCTGGCACACATACTATTTATTTATAGCCCTTAATTATCGGTGTTTTCCAATGTTCGGACTTTCCTCCCCTCATCTTCTATGGTCTTCTTGTACCCAGTGCTCAACACTACTGCATTTGTCCTCTACCAACTCAATAAAACACCTTGCTCTGACCTGCACATCCGCGTGGCTGAAGTGAGAAGATGCAGCTCCCTCCTGCGAAAGGAGGGCTCACGTCAGGGCTTTGCCTTGCTATGGGGACACAGGAATCATCCAGGAGACCTTAAAGAAGAGAGCGAGATTATCAGAGAAGGGAAAGCACCACCCTGGGAGGCTCTGCAAGCCCAGAGCATCAGATGCTGAAACCCAGAGCTGCCCCAGCTTCAGCCACAAACCAAGAGCCCCTTTCCTGGCTGAGGGCTTTAAGGAGCCCCTCGCAGCTGCCAGCCCTTGGGTGCTGATTGAGGCAGGGGTAGCCGGGTGCAGGTGTTGGGGCTTGGGCGTTTTTCCTGGTTTATATCTATTTAGGTTGTTTGGGGAGGTGCTTTTTTGTTTGTTTGTTTTTAAGCTCTCCACATGGAGCTGCCAAGGTGGAAGCACAGCTGGAAGGAGGGAGCAGTGTTGCAGATGGGGGGTCCTAGGGAGGAGCGTTTTTGTTTGTTTGTTTTTAAGCTCTCCCCATGGAGCTGCCAAGGTGAAAGCACAGTTGGAAGGAGGGAGCAGTGTTGCAGATGCGGGGCGGTCCTAGAGAGGAGGAGGGCATTAAATGCTGGAGGTGAGGATTGGGGATGGGGTTTAGGGACGATGCTCTGTGGCACCACGGGCAAGGAGCAGGGCAAGGCAGGTGGCGGGTGTCAGGCACCCTGCAGTGACAACCCGGTCCCCAGTGAGCAAGGGAAATCCCTGCAAAATGCCAAAGCCCCAGGGTGATGGTCATTCCGTGGGGTGAGAACGGCCCCGGCTCGCTCCGAGCCGGATGGAAGTGACGTCTCCAGCTGGGCACGGGGAGGAAGGGCCGCACATGTCCCAGTGGCACCATTCCGGGCAGAGGCAGCCGTGGAATTTCTCACTTTGTGTGCAGCTTACATCAGATCCTGCTTGGGCCAAGACAGCCAAAATAGAAACTTGTTGAAAATGGGCCATGATGTCACTCTGTTCTATGATTTCCCTAAAATAAGGAAGCATTGGAAAGTGCTGGCCTTGCTTTTTGCCCACGTTTCCTCCCTCCATCGTGGCTGGGCCAGTTCTGGGTGCAGTGCCAAGGGCTGGAGGGAAGCATTATCCCAAGCAGGGTCTCCAGTGATGCTTCCCAGAGGTTGTCCATGGTGATGCTGGGCCTCAGCAAAGCCATGGATGCCTCTACAGGCAGGAAAGCTGTTTGCACTGTGCAGGCATGGCCCTGGTGGCAGCCAGGAGCATGGGAGCAATGACATTAATAACAGCCCCACTGCTACGCCCCCGGCACGGGGAGGTTTTTTCCAAATCTCTCCCCACATCCTGTACCCAAAGGTCTGGGGTGCTCTGGAAATAAATGTGCAGAGGCCTCTGGAAAATCAGATTAATTTCTGCACAAACTCGCAACCCGAGTCCAGATCCCATCTCACAAGCGTTGGATGTCGTGCGCAGAACCCGTTTCCCCCCCGCAGCCCCCGCTGCTGACTCTTGCGGGCTGGTTTCAGAGCTCCCCATCTCCACCGGTGCTCGTGGCAGCTCCAGCCCCGGCTCCCGCGCGCCCGCGTCAGCCTGCACCGGTGGCTCCAATGACTCATGCCCTCTCAGGAAGCAGAACGCACATCACAAGACTGTTTCAAAAGCCCTCTCGCTTGGGAGCTTGTTCCATGGCTCCTGGAAACCACGAATGTGCAGCTCTCGGTCAAGCCAAAACCCAGGAACAACCGCACGAGGGGAGAACAAAGCCAAAACTCTCACTTTGTCCTCAGAAAGGACATAAGGCGAAGGGTCCCGCAGGCAATGGGGCTCCCACGTGCACCTGCCCTTGGGGTGTGCAGGGGCATGAGTCCCAGCATCTGCACCCAGCTGCCCCATCCTGTGGGATCTCTCCCTCTCCACATCTTGGGGTGCAGGGGAAAATCCCGGTTGGTCATCACAGATCAGCCCTGTGGGCGTCCGGCTTCTCCCGTGCCCAAATAGTCACCCAGCACCTAACCACCATCCTCAAGTTTCCATGTCCCTTGTGGTTTCCAGCCCCACCACATCTCGGTGCTGGCTCGGTGCTGTCAGGCTGTGCTGGGCAGGTTCCCGGGCTGCTTCGACAAGAAGCCGCCAACTCTGTGGTTTCATAGGAGGCTTTTTAATGTCTCTGCCTGTGGTCTGGTGAAAAAAAGAGCCGAGATACGCGAATTTCCAAGGAGCATGGGCGGCACCAAGCAGCCGTCCTGGCTATACTCAAGGACACCACTGGCCTGGTGATACTTGTTGCCTGGTTGCCTTGGAGAGGACAACCTCCTGGCTACACTCTATGCACGAAGCCTGTCTCTCAGCCCACCTTTAGAACTGTTTGCTGCAGGCTGTGGAAAGCAGTGCGTGTTTTATAGCTACTTCAGCATCAGAACTGTGCTGGATACACTGAGGTGGAAGGGCCTAAACTACAGAAAAGTTGCGGATGGTAATTTTGGCAATGCCTTTACTGCCAGTAACAGCAGTGCATGACAGTGGTGGTGCAGAGCGGCTCGGATGGGTTCGACTCGGTGGCAGAGCAGACTTGCGGTGACGCGACGCTGCTGTCACAAGGTCCCCCTGCCCGGGACGGTGCTGGCAGCACTTGGCGGTGGCTGTGTTGGGTTTCCCTGGACTCAGCGGGGGAAGCTCTCCAGCCTGTGCCGGGTCTCAAACAGACACCAAGGCCGTGGGGTTTGGCCGCTGCAGCGGCGCAGGACGGGGACGGGCTGGCGTGCGGGGTCGGGGCTCCCTCCAGTCCCTTCCACCCTCGGAAATGGAATCTGAAAGTAGCAGAGCCGGGACTGGCGCTTCCCCTTTTGTGGCTTCCTTGCCTTTTCCAGCTCAGCAGAACGGGCCCATCCTCACAGAATTTCTCCGTAGGATGCGCTCATTTCCTTCTGCGAAAGCCGCTGCCCGCCCCGCGGCCCGGCTATCACGGGTGAGTGGGCAGCGCTCCGGGCTCCTGGGGCCAGCGCGGGCCATGTCCTGCGGGGGTGTCGGGGCGGACAGGACCCTGGTGGCACCACGGGGAGGGCCGGGAGGAGGTGACGGGCACGAGCGCCGGGCTCTGGGGACGTCCCCAGGGTGGGACCGTGACAGCGACAGGCGGGTGCCCCGCGAGGCCTGCGGTGCCCGGGCTCACCGGGGCTCTGCCCTCCTCCCTCCTCGCAGACGGCGTCCCCACCTCCTGCTGCTTCAGCTACCAGTCCAAGCCCGTCCCGCGGGGCATCATCGCCTCTGCCTACGTCACGAGCAGCAGCTGCACCCAGCCGGGAGTGATGTGAGTAGCGGGGACGGCGCCGGGTCCTGCCGTGGGGCTGGGTGGCCGCGGTGGCGCTGGGAGCGGGGCGCCCTGCTCCTCCCGACGAAGCCTCCTCACGGCCTTTTGCTCCCACAGCTTCGTCACCAAGAAGAAGCAGGAGATCTGCGCCGACCCCCAGGTCCCCTGGGTCCGGGCACATCTCAAACACTTCCACAAGAAGCAGGACTGACCTGGCCTCAACAGGAACCCAGCTGATGGCCCCTGCCTTTGCAATGGATCCCAGCCCTGTGTCTCTCTGGAGTGGAGCAATCTATTTTATTTAAGTTATTTGTAGTTAACTTAAGCTAAATATTTTTGCTAAAAAAAATGGAAAATGCAGAATAAATAAGTTACATAATTTAAGTAATTTAAAAGGTCGGTGTGTGCCTGTTGGTGAGGGCTCAGATGTTGCTACCTCAATAAAGTGCTAATGTGATGAAGCACTGTGGTGTGTCTTGAATTGTGGCTGGAGTCCCCAGCCCGTAGCTGGAACAGGTGGGAGGGACCCCCATGTCCCCACAGTGCCCCCGCTCACACCCTTCCTTCCCATGGGATGAGGGAACACATCCCCCCATGCCATCCCGGGAATCCTCCCCAGGAGCCTCCTGGCCCCAGCACAGACCCACACGGGGGTTTTCCCACCGTTTATTAGGGAG